ACCAAAACCTCTAATTTTACCTCCTAAAATGCCCATTTCTCACTGCCTTCACTGCCATTATATTATACCATACCTTTTTTTCCCTCCTATTTCAACTCCTAGCTTAAAAAATCCATCCTATCTAGCCAAAACCGGTTTGGCTCAGTGGATAGAGCGTCGGTCTGTGGACTGAAGGGTCCTGGGTTTGATTCCGGTCAAGGGCATGTGCCTTGGTTGCTGGCACATCCCCAGTGGGGGGTGTGCAAGAGGCAGCTGATCGATGTCTCTCTCTCGTCGATGTTTCTAACTATCTCTCTTCCTCAGTAAAAAATCAATAAAATATATTTTTAAAAATCCATTTTATCTAATAAAAGGGTAATATGCATTTTTATTTTATTTTATTGATTTTTGTACAGCGAGGAAGGGAAAGAGATAGAGAGTTAGAAACATCAATGAGAGAGAGTCATCGATCAGCTGCCTCTTGCACACCCCCTACTGGGGATATGTCCGCAACCAAGGTACATGCCCTTGACCAGAATCGAACCCGGGACCCTTCAGTCCCCAAGCCGACCCTCTATCCATTGGGCCAAACCGGTCCCAGCGGTAATATGCAAATTATCCATCACTCAGTCACAAAGATGATGGCGCCCAGTCCTTTCAGGACCACTGGAGTCCCCCAGTCCTTGGGGGGGAGGGGACACAGGCAGCATGAGCAGCCTGGCAGAGTGCTTGCTTCGTTGCTGCGGTGACAAGGCAAGCGTTCTACGCCTGGCCGCGGATGGGCCTCTGGGCCAAGGGTACTGAGCAGCCACGCCCCACAGAGAGCTACTGGCTCACGGATTTGTGCGCAGGGCTATTAGTTTAATATATTGACCATGGATAGAGGACGTATCAGATATTAAACTGATAAGAACAGATACTACATTTGATCTTAGCCAAAAGGCCAAGAAGCGATATACCATATCTTTTAAAAAAATATATTTTATTAATTTTTCACAGAGAAGAAGGGAGAGGGATAGAGAGCTAGAAACATCGATGAGAGAGCTACATCGACCAGCTGCCTCCTGTACATATGGGGATGTGCCCATAACCAATGTAATGCCCTTGACCAGAATCAAACCTGAGACCCTTCAGTCCCCAGACTGACGCTCTTATCCACTGAGCCAAACTGGTTTCGGCTATATACCATATCTTTTTAAAAAATATATTTTTATTGATTTCAGAGAGGAAGGGAGAGAGAGCTAGAGATAGAAACATCAATGATGAGAATCATCAATCAGGCTACGTCCTGCACACCCCCTACTAAGGATAGAGCCCGCAGCCCTTGGCATGTGTCCTTGACCAGAATTGAACCCAGGACCCTTCAATCGGCAGGCTGACGCTCTATTTCACTGAGCAAAACCAGCTAGGACTGTACCATATCTTTTGCCTGGACTTACTACAATGCTCTTCTAATTCCTAATATCTTTTCTCTCTAAATCTATTTCCCACACTGAAATCAGAATTAAAGAGAGTTAACATCATCTTAAAACATAAACCTGACTCCTAACTGGTTTGGCTCAGTGGATAGAGCATCAGCCTGCAGACTGAAGGGACCCAGGTTCGATTCCAGTCAAGGGCATGAATGTACCGTGGTTGTTGGCACATCCTCAGTAAGGGGACGTGCAGGAGGCAGCTGATCGATGATTCTCATCGATGTTTCTAACTCTCTATCCCTCTCCCTCCTTCTCTGTAAAAAATCAATAAAATATATTTTAAAAATACACACAACAAGCCGGGACCGGCTCCATGGATAGAGCGTCGGCTTGGGGACTAAAAGGTCCCGGGTTCGATTCTGATCAAGGGCATGTGCCTTGGTTGCGGGCATATCCCCAGTAGGGGGTGTGCAAGAGGCAGCTGATCGATGATTCTCTCATCAATGTTTCTGACTCTCTATCTTTCTCCCTTCCTCTCTGTACAAAATCAATAAAATATATTAAAAAAAATACACACAACAAAACATAAACCTGAGAATGCTATGCTATTAACCTTTTACCAGCCGATCATTTGTAGCTAACATCTTAAGTTCCTGTATTTCTCCTTTCTGCCCAGTTCTCCAGTTTATCTGGTGCCACCCTCTGTCATTATGTGCCAGTCATTCTGGCCTTCTGTCAGTTCCTCACCTGCGCCACACACTTTCCCTGCTTGGGGCCTTCGCACTATTGTTCCCCACTCCCTCCTCTCATTGTCTGCTTAATTTCTGATTATCCTTCAGGCGTTAGCTGAAGCTCACCGCCTCAGGGAAAACCTCCTTTGTCCCTCACACCCCCCAGGCCAGGTTCCTCTGTGCTTTCTCCTCTGACTTTGCGCAACTTCAACTGAATAACTATTTGCTGACAGTTGGTTTCCCTGACTAGTCTAGACGCTTCAAGAGAAAGTAAATTCTTAAGGCGTTCTCTCCCTCTGGCACATTGTCTGGCCCTCAATAAATACTGCTTGAAAGAGGGATTGAATGCTTCATCTACCCAGTTGCAAAGCTGCCACTGGAACACAGACCCAGGAACCATGAGGGTCTATCACATAAAATGACACCCCTCCCTCCAGACTTCCTCTCCCTCTTCGCAGTAATTAAATACATTAGACTTGTGTGTTCTGTTCAGGGGCCTATCAAAACCAATCTGGTTGAACTAAAATCCAGGTTGAGGGATTACCCTTCTCTCCAAGAATACTTGCATTTTAACTGGGAACTCCCAGATGACGGTAAGTAATCCCAAAGGAACTAACAATTTCAGGCACCAGGAAGATATCATTGGGGGGAGGGAATCTTCACCACCATGCCTTAATGGAATTACAGGAATCTACAAGGTAGTAGACTTGCTTTAATGCATTTTTTTTTTTAAAAAAAAACGTTATCTTCACAACCAATCTTTTAAGGAGATATTATCCCCTTTATCAAATGAGGAAATCTCTGAAAGGTTTAGTAATTTACCAGATGTTGTAAATCTGGTGGGGGAACCAGTATCTAGTCCCTCCCCCTCCCAGGTTTGACTCCCTGTCAATCTTCCTTTTACTATGCTGATTTCAAGGATAAGTGTAGGCAATTGCTTACAGTTTATTCATAAATCTGGCTGAATAGCTTTAAAAGAGGGTTCCTGTGTTTCTTTCAGTCCCTTGGTGGGAACTATGCTCTGCAACTTGACATTTTATTGTCTTTTCCAGAAGTCCATCACATGTGGTGTCTGACCTTATTTATTCCAACCATAAATGCGGTTATAGGCAGAAAGAAAACAAATTGAGTACTGGGAGCATAATTATGATGCAAAAATCCAATACGTCATCATTTATTTTACTACTGAGTCCACCAAAGCCTCCTGTATCCAGGGTGTGAATGGTATCAGGTTGACACTTAGTAGTGCATTATTTATCTGTTTACTACTATTTGCAATACCAAAAGCTATTGGGCTATGCTAGGATCAAATATCCCTGCATGAGTTGGGTTTGCCTCTGACTAAAAATACTTTTGCCCATCCTTTGATTGCCTCTGATTCTTGAATACAGGATTTCTGACACTATTATGTTCTTCTTGGTGTCAGATACACACCTATTTAATAGCTTTGTGACTTTGGACACATAAATTAACTTCTCTGCTCCCCTGCCCCATCCGCCCCCCCCCGACCCCCACCTTTGTAAAATGGAGAGACAGTTATTAAAGATGCTGAAAGCCTTTAAGGCTTTGAAAAAACTTAACAAAACCTAACATAGAGCAGGTATTCAAGTAGCATTAATTTCCTTTTTCCTCCTTCCTCCCATAGATAAGGACATTTTCTTTTTTAAATTGATTTTAGAGAGGGAAGGCAGGGAGAGGGGGAGGGGGAAGGGAACGAGGTCCGTGGTTCCACTTGCCCATGCACTCACCAGCAGACCCCTGCATGTGCCTGCCCACCCAAAGGGACCAGCAACAGCCCCGGCTTAGGCTTAGCGGGACGACGCTCCAACCAATGGAGCTCCCGGGCCAGGGCAGGACACTTCCTTTTGAAGCCCATAGACTTAATAGAGCTATTATAATAGATTCTCCGGACTCGTTGAAAGTCATAAAAATTTTTGTGCAGATGTGTGAGGTTTGGACTTCATTGGAAAAAAGGCCCTCGGATTACGGGGGCCAGTGACTATCCTAAAAAAAAAATTGTAGATTCTAAAAAAAAAAAAAAAAAAAGTGTCGATTTTCTTCCCTGCAATGCCAAATGGTGACTCTCTTGCAGGGAACCAAATTTCGGTGGATGTTTTTGTTCTTGTTCTCTGGGCACGTTTTCTTTCGCTAGCCGGGCCCCCGAGGAGGGGAGTCCTCCCGAGGCGGGGCCCCCAGGAAGTTTCCTTGGGGGCTCTGTGACCCTCTTCGGGTTTCCTCCCAGGCGGGGGTGGGGTGCCATCTGCAGCTGGGAAGCAGTTTATTTTACTGTCTCTCAGGCTTCAGGGGTGGTTCCTCCCAGAGAGGCAGGTTTTTGTGGGGCTTCTCCAGCTAAAGTGACTCCCTCCAGGTATTAAGTTAAAAACCTCGTGGTACGACCCCGCGGTCCCCACCCTCCAAGGCCCCAACCCCGAGGCGGTGGGGGCGGGAAGGCCGCGCGCTCGCGCGCGCGCCGCTTCCGCTCCTCCAGCCCGCCAGAGGGCGCTGCGGCCCCGCCTCGTCCTTCCCGAGGCGCCTCGCGCCGGGCCCCTTCCGCGTGGGTGAGTGAATGTGAGAGTCAGCGCCGCGCCGCGCTCGCCGTCCGCCTCCGCCGCCCGGCGCTCTCCCTCCGGCTGCCTGGGGCGGGCGCGCGCGTCAAGCCATAGAGACGGGCGTTGAGCTCCGGGGCTAGAGCGTCGCCGAATCGGAGCCGGAGCCGGAGCCGCGCGCTGTGTCTCCGCTGCGTCCGCCGAGGCCCAGAGTGTCAGGGACAAAAGCCGCCGCCGCGCCGCTTGCTCCCGCCGCTGGGGCTCATCCGCCGCCGCCGCCGCTCTGAGGAGAGCCCGCCGCCGCCGCCGCCCGCGAGGATCCGAGAGCCATGTCGGCCAGCAGCCTCCTGGAGCAGGTACAGGCCCGGCCCGCATGCCTCGGCCATTGTGTGTGAGGCGAGAGAGGGAAGCCCGACCAGGCCCGGGCCCTTCGCCCCCGGCCGGGCCGAGCTGAGGCGGCGCCTCTCGCGGGCCGGGTTTCGGGCCTCTCGGGCCGGCCGCGCCCTGCGCCTCGCCCTCGGCCCGCTCTTCCCGCTCCTCCCGGGCCTCCTCGGCGCGGGCGCCGCCTTCCTCCTCAGCGGGCCTCGCTTTCCTTCCTCGTTCCCTTCCCCTTCCTTGAAGCCGGCGGGGCCCCGTCGCGTCGCGGCTGGCGCGGCCCCCGCGTTTCCCTCCCCCCGCGGCCCCGCCGGCCCAGCGCTCTCCCCGCCGCCCGTGTTCCGGGCTCCCTTCCCCTCCACCTCCATTCCCGACGCCGTCCCCGCGGCCCGCGCCTTTCTCCCTCTCCCCGGCCCGGCTCTAACGTGTCTTCTCTCCTCCATTTCTCCCTCGGATAACTTGCTGCTCGGCGACGTTCCCTTCGCCCGCAGAGACCCAAAGGTCAAGGAAACAAAGGTGAGGAGCGCCCGGCCCGCCGGCGGCCCGGAGCGGGGGCCCGGGCGGCGTGGGGGGCGGGTCTCGGGGAAGCGCCGGGGCCGGGGCCGGGCCTCGGAAGGAAGCCCCCGGGTTCGCAGGTGCCTCGCACTCCCGCGTGTTGGACCCTTTTCTCCCGGCGGGTTCTCACAGCTGGCGAACAGCTTTTTCGGCGGAACAAGGAGTAATTATTTACCCGGGGTGGGGGTGGCCTCGGTTTCTGAAAAATGTCTCAGGTCCTCCGTTTCCTGTAGGTCTCAGAAGGCCTTTGTTTTTCGTCCTCGTGGATCGCACTCTGGGAAAGTAACTCTCACATGTGACCCGAGTGGAGGAGGGTGGGGGGAGGCGGGAGGGCAGGGGAATCGAGAGGAGCCAATAAAATGACCTTTTTGGATCCATTTTGCTTTGGGTGGAGGGAGACGTTTTTTTTTTATGGCCGAAATGATGCTGAGCGTTCATGCTCTTCCTTAGCTTTTTGAAACGCAAATGTGATTGCTCTGTTTAGTAAGGTTTTTCTCCCCCCTCCCCTCCTCTGGTTGGGATATATTTGGTTACTTTGGGTTGGGAGCGTGTACGACTGAGACGTTCTTAATTTGAATTTTTTCCCTTTAGTACAAAATGGATCTGTACATCAAAAGGATGGATTAAATGATGATGATTTTGAACCTTACTTGAGCCCCCAGGCAAGGCCCGTGAGTAATTAACCATTTACATGCCTGATCAAAGGGTGTATATTAGCATTCTTTCTTTTTCCCTGTGGATGAGTCTCACTTTCTCGGGGTGACTTTCTTCCTACTAGTCTCTGTGTCATAAAAAGTTGTTAAAAATGTTATCGATTCTTAGGATTTCCATCTCTCTTGTCAGCAAACATAGTGTATTCTGAGACTAGTTCTGATGCACTTTATAGTGTACTAGCAGTAACATCTGTTTGAGTGATTCTTCCTCCTTACCAAGAGAATACAATGTAAAACTTAATCCTTTTTAGTGTTAAACATTCTGAGTTTTCACCCCAAACCCTTTTTCTTTTTTTCAGAATTGGATTTATATGTGATGGGAAAAACTAATAAAAGTATTAGTCACCTGAAATTTATTCAACCTGCAGAACTGGGTTTTCTCCTCTGCTAACTAGTTAGTGGGATCTTAGAACTATTTTGCCGTTAGGTTCTAGTTTTTCGAGTTGAGCTGTATCTATATTTATAGAGAACAAGTTTGGATTCTCGTATAGGGAGCTATATGATTTATAAAATGGAGTTTAAAAAAAAGTAAAATACTGTGTTGCACAAATTAAGATAAAAATTATTGAGGTTTTTGTAATTTAAACTATTTTCTAATGTGAAGATTAGTTGCATACAGGTTCATGACCTGTATATATAGAAACTTCTTTAATGTGGCAGCTCTTTTGTATAAATAACTTTTTCCCCAAAGACATAGTTACAAAGTTGTGGCAAATAAAGCTTCCAGATTAATAAACCAAAATACCCTAAAAGAAGAAAAAGCTTATGGAACATTTATATAAATTCTGAACAGATGCTGTGTGATAGATGTAATAGTCTAGAATAACTTGGCATATTAGTTTATGTCCATATTTGGACTTAATTCTTACATAAAACTTTAAAGATTCCTTATGTAAAATTTTCTGCATTGAATATATAGAACTTACTTAAACAAGTGATTGGAAGAAAGTTTTTGCAGAAGATAACCAGTTAATCAGGAAAAGTAGGGAAGGAAGTAGAGGAATGAACTATTAATAGATTCTTGCTATTGAAGTAGTTGCTTACGTAATTATAACAGGGAGAATGGGAGCATTTGGAAATATAATTCTAGGTAGTTCTTGTGAAACATTGTGTAATTCAGATTTTTGAGTTCAGTGGCATGTGAGAACCTGCTAGTTCAGTTGTAGGCATTTAGCTGTATAATGGCATAAGCAGTGATAGTGAATTTGTTTTTTTCTTTCTCAAGTAACCTAAAGCTTAAATGTCTTTATGTTAAAAAATTTTGAGGAGAATCATAATGTCAACAAATAACAAATAAACTTAAAAAATATGTTGTGAGGAAATAGAAATCTTGGTTGAATAGATCTGAGAGTCTGTCCGTTGTAGTTTACTTTCAAAAGTAACTCATCAACTTTTTTTTTTTATCAATTTCTCATAATTTATGTTGGAGTAATGCTTCAGGCTTAATCCAGTCACTATAGACTGAATTTTTAATACAATATGGATTTGCTAAAGTTTTAATACTATCTTTGAGAAATACTTAATTTTAAGAGAAGTCTATGTGTGGAAATACAGCTTGATTTTTACTTTATTTTTTAGGGAAAATTTAAATTGGCAGAGAAAAGCACATTTTATTAAACCACATGACTGGAAATGTTTAATCTTCAAGAGATGTGTTTTAGTGGCTAGGGAGTAGTAGTCTTACTTTTGGTAATATAAACTTAAGGTGTGGTATTTATCCAAATCTCTTAAGAATAAAACTCCATATTATCTCTAGCTTAAATACTCTCATTTAAGGGACTATTCTGTAAGCTATAGAATTTACAAAAAAAGGGGAAATAGGTTCAGCACAAACTAAAATAAAATCAAGAATGATTGAAGTTTTTGCAATGTGAAAACTAGTTGCATATAAGTTTATATTTTTGTTTCTTCAGGATAATTCCTTTTTTAAAAGTAATGGACTGTATGGTATCTTTAGAATTATACTCCTGTATAATTTATATGTTTTTTAAAATTGATTTTTAGAGCGAGAGGAGAGGGGGGAGAGAGAGAGAAATATTGGTGAGAGAGAAATGTCATTGATCATCTGCCTCCTACAACACATCCTTCTGGGGATGGAGCCCACAACTGGGCATGTCCCTGATTGGGAATCGAACAGTGACCTTCTGGTTCATAGTTTGATGCTCAACCACTGTGTCACACAGACTGAGATATACTTCTCTGTTTTTAATGGGAAAGTTCGGTGTGCATCTTAGATTATAGCAATTCATTTTATAGGAGAAGCAGAACAGGTAAAAACATTTTTCTAGTTTTTTCTCTGGAAGCCACTGTACATTTCCTTTCCAGGTTATAATTAAATAGTGACATTGTTTATGTTCCCAGGTGGTTTGCCAAGAGGCTACCACTGTAAATTAGATGTAGTGAACCTTGTTTTTTAAAATACATTTTATTGACTTTTTACAGAGAAGAAGGGAGAGGGATAGAGAGTTAGAAACATCGATGAGAGAGAAACATCAATCAGCCGCCTCTTGCACATCCTCCACTGGGAATGTGCCCACAACCAAGGTACATGCCCTTGACCGGAATCGAACCTGGGACCTTTGAGTCTGCAGGCCCCACTGAGCCAAACTGGCTAGAGCAACCTTGTGTGTGTGTTGTTTTTTTTTAAAAACACAAACTTATTTGACACATACCAAAATGTCTTTATATATTTAATTAATTTGAATAAGTAAATTCAATTATACTTTGATAATTGAAAATAGCCTGGCTGGTGTGCCTCAGTGGTTGAGCATTGACCTATGTAACCAGATCACGGTTTGATTCCTGGTTAGGGCATTGGCAAAGGTTGCGGATTGCGGGCTTGATCCCCAGTAGGGAGCGTGAAAGAGGCAGCCGATTGATGATTCTCTCATCATTGATGTTTCTTTCTCTCCCTCTCCCTTCCTATTTGAAATCAATAAAAATATATTTTAAAAAAGGAAATAAATTCATGCACCAATATTTTAACAGAATAAAGTGCAGGATTTATGAATGCAAAAATCATACCGTTAAAATATTTACTAATAAGATTTAAGAAGTTTTCATGACACACAGACACTATTGCTATTTAAATATAGTTGCAGAACCTTGTTTTTTGGTTTATGCCTGAGGAATGGCTACACAGATTTTTGGGAGAGAACTTTAGATTTTCAATTCTTTTTGTCTTACTTTACCTATTATAGGATGGTGTTTTAATAGTTTAATAGTTGTTGAGATGTGACCATCTGAAATGGTCACTCTCCTTTTTTATGGTGGTGGATGAAATAGTTGAATTATATGAATACTTGGGAAAGGAAATGCCTGATTGTTTATTTTTGTGTTGTGTTTAGTTGTGTGTTTTTTCTTCCACAGAATAATGCATATACTGCCATGTCAGATTCCTACCTGCCCAGTTACTACAGTCCCTCCATTGGCTTCTCCTATTCTTTGGGTGAAGCTGCTTGGTCTACTGGAGGTGACACAGCCATGCCCTATCTGACTTCTTATGGACAACTGAGCAACGGAGAGCCTCACTTCCTACCAGATGCAATGTTTGGACAACCAGGAGCCCTTGGTAGCACTCCGTTTCTTGGTCAGCATGGTTTTAATTTCTTTCCCAGTGGTATTGACTTCTCAGCTTGGGGAAATAGCAGTTCTCAGGGACAGTCTACTCAGAGCTCTGGATATAGTAGCAATTATGCTTATGCACCTAGCTCCTTAGGTGGAGCCATGATTGATGGACAGTCTGCTTTCGCCAGTGAGACCCTCAATAAAGCTCCTGGCATGAATACTATAGACCAAGGGATGGCAGCACTGAAGTTGAGTAGCACAGAAGTTGCAAGCAATGTTCCAAAAGTTGTAGGCTCTGCTGTTGGTAGTGGGTCCATTACTAGTAACATTGTGGCTTCTAATAGTTTGCCTCCAGCTACCATTGCTCCTCCAAAACCAGCATCTTGGGCTGATATTGCTAGCAAGCCTGCTAAACAGCAACCTAAGTTGAAGGCAAAGAATGGCATCGCAGGGTCAAGTCTTCCACCACCCCCGATAAAGCATAACATGGATATTGGAACTTGGGATAACAAGGGTCCTGTAGCAAAGGCCCCCTCACAGGCTTTGGTTCAGAATATAGGTCAGCAGCCAGCCCAGGGGTCTCCCCAGCCTGTTGGTCAACAGGCTAACAATAGCCCACCAGTGGCTCAAGCATCAGTAGGGCAACAGACACAGCCATTGCCCCCACCTCCACCACAGCCTGCCCAGCTCTCCGTCCAGCAACAGGCAGCTCAGCCAACCCGCTGGGTAGCACCTCGGAACCGTGGCAGTGGGTTTGGTCATAATGGGGTGGATGGTAATGGAGTAGGACAGTCTCAGGCTGGATCTGGATCTACTCCTTCAGAACCTCACCCAGTGTTGGAGAAGCTACGGTCCATTAATAATTATAACCCTAAGGATTTTGACTGGAATCTGAAACATGGCCGGGTTTTCATCATTAAGAGCTACTCTGAGGACGATATCCACCGTTCCATTAAGTATAATATCTGGTGCAGCACAGAGCATGGTAACAAGAGACTGGATGCTGCTTATCGCTCCATGAACGGGAAAGGCCCCGTTTACTTACTTTTCAGTGTCAACGGCAGTGGGCACTTCTGTGGCGTTGCGGAAATGAAATCTGCTGTGGACTACAACACATGTGCAGGAGTGTGGTCCCAGGACAAATGGAAGGGTCGTTTTGATGTCAGGTGGATTTTTGTGAAGGACGTTCCCAATAGCCAGCTGCGACACATTCGCCTAGAGAACAACGAGAATAAACCAGTGACCAACTCCAGGGACACTCAGGAAGTGCCTCTGGAAAAGGCTAAGCAGGTGTTGAAAATCATAGCCGGCTACAAGCACACCACTTCCATTTTTGATGACTTCTCACACTATGAGAAACGCCAAGAGGAAGAAGAAAGTGTTAAAAAGGTAATCCGCTTACAATTCTTAAGACTTTTAGGGAAGGGGAGAAGGAACTAGAAAGAACAGGAGAGGTATTATACTGAATAATAAAAGCTTTAATAAAAGCTCTGGAAAAATAACACGAGTGTCATATAACAGTTTAGTCCTTTATGGGAGTATAATTGGGTCTTAACTACTTGAATCTTAGTGTAAAGGAATGTGGGAATATTAATGGAGGACAGAGCTGTGTTTAAGGGAAAACAATATAGAAAATGAATTTATATGATGTAGAAAGAGGTGAAGAATGAGTCTGAAAGAAATGCAAAGGAATGATTGAAGTGATAAAACTATGGAAATTAAATTTGGAAAAGATTGCGGCTGTAATAAGGCAAAGAAAAAAGTTACAAGTTCTGTAGTAATAAACTTTTGGCTTAATGGGTACTGTGGTTTTTTCCCCCCCAAGACCTGGTGTCTCACCAAGCTTTGCCATCATTTTTCAGCCTGCTTTCTGACAACTGGCAATGTTAAGTGGATGTTTAAAATAATATTTTTTTTATTTATTTAAGAGAGGAAGGGAGAGGGAGAGAGAGATAGAAACATCAATGATGAGAGAATCATTGATTGTCTGCCACCTGCACACCACACTAGGGATGGAGCTCGCAACCTGGGCATGTACCTGGAATTGAACTCTGTGACCTCTTGGTTCATAGGTTGATGCTCAACCACTGAGCCATGCTGGCCAGGCCATTAAGTGGATGTTTTTAAGAACTTAACTTTCTTGCTGTTATTTTTGGTGTTCTACTTACTTTTTTTCAAAACCTTTTTTTCCATTGGAAAAGTGAAATGTTTATTTCATAAAACGTGGATAATTACAAAAGGCTCTGACCTTTTGGCTTCTAACATTTTGTTGTATTTCTAAAGAGTTGCTTTCTCTTATTTCCTTTGTAACAAGTGGGAATCTTGTTAGAGTGATGGAGAATAGATACAAACTAAAGAGTTGGTAATGCCACTTGGTCCTTGTGTACTGAGGGAATGTAAACTTCAGGACCATAAAAGAAGGATAAAATACTGATGGGGTGTGTCATATATTATATAGGATTTAGACATACATAATACGTAGGAAGTAGGTAGAAAGATTATGGGCAAGGAGGAATTAAAAAAAAAATCTGTAAATGAATGATTAAGAGAATTCTGAGTAGTTAGCCTTAAATGCAAAATAAAAAAGCCCCAGGGGTGGGGATGGGAGGAGGTAGAAGAAGTTGTAAGAATATGTGGTGATAGGAGACTTGACTTGAGGTGGTGAATACACAATATAATATACAGAAGATGTATTATAGATGTATTGTACACCTGAAACCTATATAATTTTATTAACCAAAGTTACCCAATAAATTTAATTAAAAATAAAAACAAAACCTAACAAGTTAATGTAAATATATTTTTCTTAAATTTGTTATGAATTCATAGGTATCTTATATATTTGAAGTAGAAACCGAGGCATTTGTTATGCCTCTATAAAAACTTACTCATTTGAACAGTGGGAGGAGGGCTCTTTGGTAGATTTTTCACCTCCTTAACATAGGATCAGAGGTGCGTAGTTGTTCAACTAAAGTATAATGGTTGCCATTTTATATTCTAACTTGTACAGACAAATAAATGGAGATACACTCAGCAGTGATGCCAAAAGTATTGGGGATATAGAGCCAGATTAACAAAAAGTTGGCTGTCAGAAACTTTTCCTTTTTAGTCTTTTAAACTCTTATTTTCCCCACAGTTTAACAGTTTAACTTAAAATCTTCAATAATCTTGTAGAAAAAGATAGTTTAGTGGTTATTTTTGCCAGACGTCGGAAAGGCTCTAAAGATGTTTTCACAAATAACCTGTTTCTAAAGATACAAGGGTGACGTTTTGGCACCATGTAGTGGCATGACAGATTTTTAACATGTGAAGGGGGTGTCCAGGTGCTTGGTTTAACCATTTGGAACATGCATAATATCTTTTTTTTTTTTTTTAATATATTTTATTGATTTTGTACAGAGAGGAAGGGAGAGAGATAGTCAGAAACATCGATGAGAGAGAGTCATCGATCAGCTGCCTCTTGCACACCCCCTACTGGGGATGTGCCCGCAACCAGGGTACATGCCCTTGGCCGGAATCGAACCCGGGACCCTTCAGTCCCCAAGCCGACGCTCTATCCATTGAGCCAAACCGGTCACGGCTGGAACATGCATAATATCTATCAGTTTCTTTCATCTGCAAGCATCTTGTGATTTAAAGCAGGAAAGCAGAGACAGGAATAACTTTAGAACTGTAGATACTAAGATAAACTGGTATTATCTGTTAGAACCATGGAGAAACTGGTTTAAAAATGAAGTAGCAAGAGGACTTAATTTATGTAAACTTTCCATCAAGTATGTATGTGTATTAAGTTCACTTGAGTGGTTCAGTGCATGATAATTGAACTTCATAAGTAGGCATAAGATTCAGATTTTGAAATTGACCAGTCTTATGTTTTAATAGTGAATATGATCATATTTAGGGTCTTTATGAAGTTAACTAATGGATCTTTCTTAAAAACCATTCCATAAAGGCCTTGGCATATTTTAATTGTTCTCAGGTTGGGGAACAAACCACCAAGAAAAAAATATAAAGCTTTGATTATATGTGTCAGATTACTTTTTAGTTTACTTTCTGTAAGAGCTTTATTAGGCTTTCAGGAAGGTCTGTTATTAGTATTACTTTACTCCTCTGTTGCCCACTGTTTTCTTTAACATCCTTACATAAGTGACTGTAAACTATTGTTTTAGTCTTTACTAGGCTTCCAAGACAAAACAGGTTTGATGAGAATGGGACCGATAGCTCATTGGGGCAGTTGATAGCCTTCTTAGGTTTGGTGTTTGTATGTGTGCCTTTGTATTATTTACAAGATTGCAAAAAATCTTCATGCCAAATGGGCATGGTAATTCAGTATGTAGGAAAATACTTAACCTTCATCCTGAAAATGATGTCATAGCTGTTCCAAAGTTTTGAGATTGGGCATGTATCTTGGCAGAGCACACTGAAGCAAAATTATAGCCATTTTTGCCTAGCATTATTACTGACTTTCTGTCACATGATATAATTCAGTATCATGGAACCTTGCAGCATTAGAGCCCTCTGGCTTGAAAATTCTGACATGTGGTCTGCTTTGTTGTATACTATAGATACAATTTGTAACCTGCGTTTGCTTAGAACCTTTCCCTAATTGTTACATATTCTGTGACATCACTTTTCTTTTTTTTTTTTTATTGATTTTTCACAGAGAGGAAGAGAGAGGGATAGAGAGAGAGAATCATCGATCAGCTGCCTCTTGCACACCCCCTACTGGGGATGTGCCCGCAACCAAGGTACCTGCCCTTGACCTGAATTGAACTCAGGACCTTTCAGTCCGCAGGCCGACGCTCTATCCACTGAGCCAAATCGGTTTCGGCTGTGACATCACTTTTGATGGACTTCCTAGTATTCTCTTATAGTTTATTAGTTCTTAATTGTTAAGTACATCAGCTCTTTAATAATTTGTTCCATCTAAAATAAAATGTTCACTGCAGTGAACATTAATATAAATATTGATTCACATCTATCCTTTAGTGTTATTCCTGGGTCAAAGGGTATATGCTTTTTGAAGATCTTGGTTGTGCTAATATATTGCCATATGGGCCTTTTTCGTTCTTAAAAAAAATTTTGAGAGAATTAATGTTAGCTATTAGAAGACGACAACAGTGCATTAATAACTCCCTTTGTCTCAACTTTGGAATGGTCTGGCATTATTTGGAATAGTCCTGCATTAATGATAATTTTTTTTTTTTTTTTTAATAAACCTCATAGTGGTTAGTAGAGGGGACTAGGAATTGAATAATTTTCTTAAATTCTAGCCCAATATTATACTCAATCAGACACTTTGGTAAATAACTTTTAATAACTGGAAAGCTAATGGGAGACTGGAGAGAAAGACAGATCTAAATAAGATGGGGTTATAATGACAGCAGCTCAAGGTGTATATTTAAAAAAATTTTTGCTATTAGGTGAGATTAAAAGGATTTCTTAAAATCCTCTAAAATTTCCCAAGTAGAAGACCTAAAGATGTGATTTTGGAGTATGTTTGGATATACTTAAAATTTATTATGCTATTTAAGAATTGAGAAGAAGCCTTTTATTTTTATTTTTTGAACAACTCTACTGTGTACTAGACCAGGAGTTTCTCTAGTAACTATGAGAGAGCCTTGCATTAGTGGCACAGGTAACAGTGTAAAACAGAAAGTGTTTTCTCAAGGTATGCCAATTTGAAAGCTTGAAGATTGCCAAACCCAGCCTGGGGTGTGGGTGGAAAAAGTTTGGAACCACTCTTTCCAAACACCTATTTTCTATACATCTTCAAGATCCAGCTAAGAGATCACTTCTTCTAGGATCTTTCTATGACCTGGAAGATCCCGGAAGAAGTGATCTCTTAGCTGGATTTTGAAGATGTATAGAAAATAGGTGTTTGGAAAGAGTGGTTCATAAACAGCCCAAATCTGTGACACTGTATAGATATAACTTGAACAAAAAAGGTCTCATTGGCATTTGTGGAGTATGTTTTCCAGGAGGGAAGTTTGAAGATTAGATTACTAGAAGGGAATTGAATGAAATGTGTATGCACTTAATTTGATACAGAAGAAATCTAAGGTCAAGTATAAAGTTGGCTTGAAAAAGTATTGAGAGTTTAGAAGAATTAGGAATAAAGTCTAATTTGAATCAGGATGAAGCAGCTCTGTGATGTGATCTTTTTTTTTTTTTAAATATATTTTATTGATTTTTTGCAGAGAGGAAGGGAGAGATATAGAGAACTAGAAACGTCAATGAGAGAGAAATATTGACCAACTGCCTCCTGCACCCCCCCCCCCCCACTGGGGATGTGCCCGCAACCAATGTACATGCCCTTGACCGGAATCGAACCTGGGACCCTTCAGTCCGCAGACTGACTATCTACCACTGAGTCAAACCAGTTTTGG